ATTTAAAGTCTATTTTTATTTAATGAACTAGAAATCCTAAACTAGAGTAATAGTAATTTATTATGCATTAGTTACTAATAGCTATAGTTAATAATAGTAATTAGTTATTAATAGTAAATTTTGGAAATTATTTTTTCCGTGCCTTTTTGAGAATGCTTAACTTTTTTTAGTTATTTGTATGTAGTTTTATATGCTTCTGAGTAACGAATTTACAAATCAGCTACTATTTCTTTAATGTTAAATTATTTGTGGGTAAAAAATCATTCAAACCCATTAAAAATCAGATTTAGATATATGAAGATCTAAAAATTTTCTAATTACAATTGCCATTTATCCTTTATTTTAAAACACGGACTTATAGCAGACATTGTTTCTGAGCATCTCAATTTTCAGACAACCTTCATTATTTTGAAAATGCATTTTACCTTTAACCAAAACAGTGAAATGAGGCCGAGTTGTCAAATTCTTGTCCTCTCATTCGGTCGCTCAATGTTGCACTGTTAAACTTTAAAAATATTTCAACCATGACATGAGAGCATGAACCTCTATTTGGGAAAAAGTACCATAAGTAAATGGTGGTCACATCAAGTCAACAACGTTTTCTTTTTGAAGGGAATTCTGCAAGGTTAATATATAATATTGATTCTGCCCTAAAAGACTGAAGTTACTGTAGTTAGTAGAGGCAGTGGGAAACCATTGTGTGAATTTGGGAAATGTTGAAAAAAAACTAGCAATACTAGTGGGAAAATCTCTTTTGCTTGAACAGAAACCCTACCTCTGAGTAACAGGAAGAACTTTCATTGTTGATCTCTGAATCCATTTTGTCCTGGGTCACAAGCTTAGCTCTCACCTTCTCCCTATTCCTTTCCCTGGCTCTTGAGCCAGATCTACTAACAATGGTGGTTGTGAAAAGCTGTGGCAGTATTTTAAGAAGTGAAAAATTTATGATGATTTGCAACACTGTTTATCTACGGGTTTCATTATCTGCCCTGTTATATAATTCTGTAATAATACAGAAAAAAATGCACTTTCCTATTTCAGTCAAAGAAAGAACTTCATACATTTTAATGCATTGAATCCTTAAATATCCTAAAGCATAGGTTAATGACATTCTTGTTTTAAAGTTGGAAAACACAGAAATAGAGAAGCTAACATCAGCATTTTTCAAGCATCTGCAGACTGTTAATTCTCTCATAAAAAAATTAAAGTATACAACATCAGTGAAATTTTGTGACAGTGAAGGTCATACTGAGTAGGTTGCATAGCAGCACGTAACCGTGAAAGGATTAGGAAAAGAGATTCATACCTTTTGTCTTTTCTCTAAAATGGTTCCAGGACATGTAAAAATTATGAAGATGTTAATAAATTGATGTAAAATTATAATCAAATTTCTGTTTAAGTATCAAAAATGCAGAAAACTATTCTGCAGAGAAGCAAAAAGTAATACTTATGACAAGTTTTGATCTACACTTTGGAAAAGGTAATTTTTCATTTTAAAAGCTTGGTAGAAAACATAGGGTTTTAAAGGTTTTAAGAAAAATTGCAAGCAGGAATTATTTGATTGATTTTAAAATATAATTCATAGTAACCAAAAAAGGATGCATCTAAACAACTCTGTGTGCTTTGAACACAGAGAAATTTGAATTTACCTACAGTTATTTCACTTTCAGTCATAATAAAGCAACACATTAACAAGGGTAAGCCTAAAAATGTTGCTTTAAATGGACAGTTATCTGGCATCAAGTAGAGGCTGTAGAGAAAACAGTTTATTTGTTCTGCTGACTATGTTCTGGCTGTAAATAGAACAAGTGTGTTTCAGCTCATGGGCTTGTCTCTTCCCGTTGGCCAGATGAGTAACTGTCCTCTGTTTTTTCAGCAAAATTCTTAAGCTTAGGAGAACACACTTATCCCTTTCCCTGTCCCCATCTCCATCATGCTTAGGAGTGCTTCTATTTTAGTTTGTATTTCCTTGTCCCAGAAAGACTGAAACTAATACTAAAACATGCTGCAGCACTTGGTGTCATAACTAGAATAACAGAAAATAGAAAAAAAATACTAGAAGATATTAGACTAGACTAGAAGGTCTAAACTCAGATTTTAATCTGAGTAAAGCAATAACATCCTGAGGAGCCAAACAGGAAAACTTCACTATGGCAAAGGAATTCATTTCTTTGGGAGACAGATTACTAATCAAATTTAGAAATGGAAGAAAGAGAGTTTTATTCTAACGATTTTTGCTTTTACAGAGGTCAGACATACAGGTACTGACTGCTTCGTTCTGTGGGCCTTTAAGCCCTGTTAAACTTCAAAGTGAGTGAGGGCCATTCAGCACTTTAAAAAAATTATACTCATAACTCTCTTCCACCTCCAGTTTTGAGTGGCTATGTGCATATCATCCATCGTTAACTAGGGAAGCCCACAATCTGGACACGGGAAGATTGCCATCAGTGGGTTTCTGAGGTTGGCATGACACGTCCACCATGGTCACCTGATGCAGTTGGGCAGCAGGGCCCCACAGCACTGTCCTGGGTGGTGGGTGAGGTGTGGGGTGGTGATGCCACAGCCTGGAGCACTGCCTCCAGTCAGACTCACACAAGTGGTACAGACCCTGATCCCATCAGCAGTGGTGGTGGTTAGGCTTTTCTCAGTCAAAAGAAGCAGCTTAACTCCTGAATCTTAATCACATCCTGTTGGCTGCTTCCTTCTTTTTATCCCTGTAGGATTTTTCATCCTCTGAAACCCACAAAAAGATCATATTTTGCTTCAGTTTCTGAAACCTCGTCATTTTTTCCAGACTTTCCATTTCACGCTGTTTGAATTTTATTAAGATCTCTTTACACAAAAGCAGAGTATCAGCTATATGATGCCCTGAGGGATCTGAAAAGCTGTTGCTATAATGTCGCAAAACTCTGGAGACATATTATTTCTACCAGAAGCTCTTTGGAGGATTGTGGCTAAGGATATAAAATATCTTAAATGTTTACAGCAGGGATCTTGATCTCTGTTGGAATTTAATACAAACTTTTTTTAAAAAAAATCTATTAATTGGCACATCATATTAATAATGATTAAATAATACCCCTCTACAAAGTGGACTGCATTTTATAGGTATATATATATATATATCTTGGGATGGAGAAGACTGTTTTTATTCCAGAATTATGGATACTATCTATACGGATAATATCATGAATCATCTATTCTTAAGACTATGACTTTCTTTTCATCACCTCAGTTGATCATTACTAAGTATTTTAACCAGATATTTTCCAGAAGCACTTCTGTTTTATCTGTTTCTGCCTCCAACACTTTCTGTTCTTCCCAAACACAGCCAGGCATAAATTCTGTATAGGAGGCTCGTCAAAGCACATCTCTTCAGTGAACAGGAAAAGATTTTGGAAGTGTTAATAAGGTTTTATTTTCACTGGTTAGCCTTGAAATCAAAACTAACTGCTGAACTCTCAGAAGTCTCTTATATAACACAATAGTCCTGTTCAGATAAGGTTTGAAATAAAAATGTGTAGGAAGATGTATTCTAATTTGACAAAAACATAAGTCTTATGAAGAAAAACATTATGTTTTCAAAAAGTTGTAATAAAATAGTGTGTGTGTGTATGCATGCATGCAATATAGCAGGAGACATTTAAATTATTATTTATTTAAAACAGTATAGATGTATATGTTCATTTGAAGGGAAAATATTTTGTAAAATTTAATGTGTGTATAATCATACAGAATCTGGGATGCAAATTCTAAGGATACTAGATATTTAAAAACCTGTTAGAATGTTAGACTATTAGTGACAATTTTTTTTTTTTTTTTTCTAAAAAGCTTTGTAATTCTGTATGTCTTCATCTTTCTGGGGCTATGCAGAAGGTGCTGGGATATTAAAAAAATTAGATGTCCTTAAAGATGATATAAACAACCAAAACATTGAGGAATCTGATATTTTAAGCCAAATAAAAAATTTCATATTTTTGCAGGATATTATGCAGCCCTGACTCAAGTCAAAAATTTTCTGTCACAGATAACTGCAAATCTTTAAAGGAAGTATCAGACCAAATAAAAAGGATTTTTTCATTCAATTTCTAAAATTACACGAATTCTATAAAAATACAGAAATCAGATACTGGTAATATAATGGAACTACTAACATAAATATTCTGAATTGCACCAGTGTTTGACATATTATATATCCTTGAAGTAATAGTCACTCAATAATCTAACATTGTTGTCTATTCACTCCTAGCCCTTTTTGTCATTGTGTTTACTGTGTACCACTCTTCTTCCTCAGAATAATCCCACAACAATATAACAGATAAGGATAACAGCAGTTGCTATCTCAAAAGAAGAAAGTAAATTTTAATTCTGGATTGTTTTTTTCACTATTTAATCATTTTATACTGCAGAAATGCTGTTCCTATTATCAAACAGACTGAAAGGCTTTTGTAATTATCAAGATAGTTTTAGACACTGCCTCAAATAAATGTACTAACAAAGACAGTTATGATTTAACCCTCTTAATGCTGTCTTTCGATACAGCTTCTTGATAGTGATTAACCATAATAGCATTTTTAATTGGTCAATGTTCTCTTAAAATGTCAATTTTTCAGAGTTATGAGGTGCTATATACTCTGGCATCAACTGATTAAGAGCAGTAAATTTAGCTCCTACTTACCAGTGCAGACATTTAAGACAATGCCATAAATAGCTGACTGTATTACCTCAACTTTTTATTCTATGATAAAACTTCTTTTTCACTATCCAGAAGGTGATTAAAACTGAATTTAAAGGTTATGTTCATGAAGTTCTGCACATCTCTTGGAATATGTCTCTCTCAATGGTAAAAATAACTGTGGATTTTCAGAATCCCAGAGTCTAACTACAAAAGTCGGCAATTTCTACTGCAAGGTGTGCACTATTTCTAGCAGTCAGATAAAAATTACATAGTGCTTTTTTTTTTTTTTTTTTCCTTCCATTCTGTTTAAATCTTACTGCAGGATGTGTGACACGGGAGAAGGGCTGTTCACCTTTCAGACACGAGAAGGGGAAATGATATATCAGAAAGTCCATTCTGCAACACTGGCAATAGCAGAGCAACATGAAAGATTAATGTTGGAGATGGAGCAGAAGGCACGGGTAAGGTCCTTTCACCAAAATCTTTAAACTTACAAAAACTGGTGATGAACAAAAGAAGTGTGGAGTAATGGCAGTCAATGGATTCAGACGTAATAATGATATTAGCTGTGTGTCTAAGACAAAGCAGACTTAATGTGTTTTCATGGTCATGGGATTTTCAGCATGTGCTATATCTGTTGTTGGTGTCTTTTTGGAATGGTGCATACCATTAAACCATACATGATTACCCTCCTGAAAATTGTGGCTCTGTTACTCAAAGATTAAACCTTTAGCTAGTCAGCTGAGTTGACTGTTGATGAATTAGTGTTATTTGCTCCTCAGGGCCTCACAGGTGGAAAAAAAAAAAATCCAGTATATACTCTCCCAGGTGACAGCAGACATGTTCTATTTTTCTTAACGCCCGAAACAAATTACTTTCCCT